GTTTCTATGGCCGAAATATACTACCTCTAAAAATATTTGCCCTTATTTAAGTCTCATCCTGTATATTGTCTGTCCTGTAAATTTTAATATTGTCTTTTTAAAAATAACTCTCATTTACCACGGTAAACTCACCAATCCATAAAATGTAAATACATATCCACATCATTCATAACCAATCCTCATGATAGCATGGGATTCGTATTTTCTATTTTAAATCTGTATCATTTAGCTAGTAAATACCCTGAAGGCTGTCAACCATTCCTAGGCTGTATTATTATCTTTTAATGAAACTTTCCCTCTGCCAGGGGCATTAATTACTATTAGATCTATATTTAGAATTTTAAATATCTGTTTGAAATTATTTTAAAATATATGAGTGGGAAAAAGGTTTCCTTTTTTACACTTATTCTTAAAATCTTAGTAATTCTTGATACATGATGGCATCTTCTGACTTAGCAATCAATTAGGTTTTCAGCTCTTCAAAGTAATTGAAAAAATAAGCACTTTTTATCAAGGCAAAATGAGGCAGCTAGCAAAAAAAATCGAATTTTGATAAATACTCTCGAAAAAATGTTAGTGTCTTCTTCAAAAGTGAATATCTCCAACAAAAATAAAGCTATCGAGATGAACCAAAAAATAAACTATCGAGAAAGGATGTACCTATATGTCCAAATTATTGCTAAGTTCCTTGATACCTTAACATATTCCACAGGGTGTTTCAAACTTTAACCAAAATATCAACATTTTGTTTTCCCTCGTATAATTGACAGATTGGAACTTTTATTTTAAATTTAGAAAGAGATACTAAAAAGTCAACTAATTTAGCTACATTTTGTTAAAAAAATTATGAAAATCGGCCCACTAGAGCAAAATATATCAAACTTTAAAATACATCAAAATTTTAAGGTACCTACCCGTTTATCTGTTTTTTTTTTGTACTCAGTATACTTTTTCCTTTGTATTCTTATTAAATGCACTAAGACTAGGACAACTAAAAAAATAGGAACAAATACATCAATAAATAACAGAGTTATGATGAACGATTGGTGTAGCTTTGTTAATAATAACTGTTTGGTTTCGGTATTATATTTCCTCTGGGTGTATTTCGTGAGGCGAACATAGGTTGGGCTGTCATGTCATTACCACTAATAAATTTGCACTGTCTAATACAGAGTTTCCTACTTTTACACTTAAAACACGGGCTTTTAGCGCAATCTAAAGAAACGCTAGTTATTGCATTATTTACTACTACATGCAATTATCGTGGGGAGTTTTACGGCCACCTTTTAATGGCCCTTTCAGATGCTATCTTCCATCTAGTTATAGAAAAAGTAACGTAACAGGCCCTATTTACATATGTCTTTCGGATTGACTTTTTATGTAGGTGTTTAAATAAACTTTTTATGGCCCCCATAACCTTATACACTAGCCTCTATAAATATACATATTTAAATATAGCTTTTCTTGGTTATTATGCTGTAAAATTGAATAAAAATAGCTTGAGACTTGAAGAATATATCCAGAACTGATTAAGATTTTTGTTCTTTCATTAAAGTCATATTTAAGAATTTATCGCGCATAAGGAGAAATAAAAAAGTTATAAAAATAAATACTTACAATTGATAAAAGGTAAAAAATGCGTTTTAAAATGGACTAACCTGAAACAATAGAAAAAAAGTTAGTAAATAATAATAAATAAAATGCTATAACGGACCTGGTTCATTCTCGTTCTGGGCTTTAATCCTTGCTGTTGTCCCCAAAATCTTCTTTCTATAGAGTGTCATCAGTCGTAGTACATCATCATGAATCGCTTGAAAGAACTGCAAAGTATCTGTTACTAAAAAGAACAACACATGAGACTTCACACAGCTATCATACACTCACCGGTACGAAAAATAGACACCTTAAAATTTTGATGTATTTTAAAGTTTTGTATGATGTGTTTTAATAGACCGATTTTGATGATTTTTTAAGCAATTTAATTAACAAAACAAAATGTTGATATTTTGGTGAAAGTTTGAAACACCCTGTGAAATATGTTAACAAAGCATTTCTTTTTTTTTCAATGCTAATATTGCTGTAAATCGTTACTGTATTCGAGACCTGCTTCGGGACCATAACTTACTAGGTCTGTTGACTGGGACTAGGACCAGAAGCAAAGGCATGGTTTTAATGTAAAAATGATGAAAAAATGTTAATGTCTTCTTCAAAAGCAAATATCTCCAACAAAAATAAACTTGTTGAGATGAACCAAAAAATAAGCTATTGAGAGGATGCACCTAGATGATATTTTTTTCAAATTCCTTGCTTTGTTAACATTTTCCACGGAGTGTTTGAAACTTTCACCAAAATATCAACATTTTGTTTTCCCTCGTATAATTGACAGATGGGAACTTCCACTTTAGAGAGAGACTAGAATTTAGAATTTAGAATGAGTGGGAGAGGGGTTAATCACTTCGACCTTACAGATCCATTGTGTCCCCCTTTCTTGAATCATAACTCATCATACAGTCCCAGGGCTTTGACAAAAGCCAGTATCTGGGACGGTTTTATAGAGGGTAGTTCTCCATCTCCAATATCAGTCGTACCAAAATTCATGGCACGAATGGTTGTCGTCTCGGCGCACTCAGTGATGAGGTGTACTGTGTTTCCTCATTTTCCCCACAGAATCTGCATTCGCCGTTTCTTCTTAGTTTCAATCTACTGAGGTGTTAATTGAGGAGACAGTGTCCTGTTAAAAACCCCGTGACAATCCGAAGATTGTTCTTACTTAAACCCAGGAAGATCTGTGATTTTTCTTAATCATAAGCCCTCAGAAACTTCTTCGAGTGTCTTAGACCGTTGCAAGATTCCCACTCCAGGTTGCGGACGGAATCTTCCAAGTTTTTGAGTTCCGCCTTGAGTTGATTACCACTTGGAAAGCAGAACGGTTCTGGTCCAGTTAGTGGAGTGTTCGCTCCTTTTCTAGCTAGAACGTTTGCTTTTTCATTGCCTTCTATCCCTTGGTGAGCAGGCACCCAGAGTAGGAGGACTCTGTTTTCTTTGCCTAATTTATTCAGCTTCTCTATGCATTCTTTGACCAATTTCGAATTGATTGATACTGAGTTGATCGCTTTTAACGCTGCTTGACAAGATGGCTATTTCTTGTTTCCGATAGTTCCTATCTGAGATAAGTTGTACGCATCTCTCGATAGCGTAAATTTCTGCCTGTAGGATACTAGGGTAAGTGCCCATTGGTTCGGAGTAATTAGCTCTCGGCCCAAACACTCCGATCCCTGTTCCCGTATTGGTTTTGGAAGCATCAGTATACCAAGTTATGGTATGGTCTTTTAACTGCTGGGCAAGCGTTTCGCTCTTCCAATCCTTCTTATTGCTCAATACTACATTGACATGTTTGTCAAAGTTGTACGTTCTTGGCATATCGTCCACTGAGAGTTGCAGGAGTGGTATTTCCTTTATGAGGGTGTTCCAAGCCCCTGATCTGGCAATTCTCCCAGTAGTAATTCCGTTAGTGACCATTCTAATCATTGTCGCATTGGCATATCTACCAATGACAATGTGCAGTGGTGTTAGATTTAGAATGACCTCCATTGCTGCTGTTGGACAGGTTCTCTAGAGAGAGACTAAAATAGAGACTAATTTAGAGAGAGACTAAAAAATCCAATCATTCAGTTACAAATTGCTTAAAAAATCATCAAAATCGGGCCACTAGAACAAAATGTATTAAATTTTAAAATACATCAAAATTTTAAGGTGCACGTTTTTCGTGCCGGTGAGTGTACATAATATACAAGACATAAAATCATATACCATATGACCAAAAAGTATTATTACCAAGACAGCTTAAGATGCTGACATATGTATAAAAAAAGACACAAAACTTTTTGGCCATATTATATCTGTTTTATTAGATTAACTTACATATTCAACTAAGATACTTTGCACCCATATATTTCTGGCCATGATTTTGCTTGCTATATACCGAAAACGCGAAACGAATTTACCATCACTCGCGACCCAATACACAGAATCTGCCAGTATGAAACGACCATGTCGCCAATTGGATATCTCCATTTGGCCATTACAGCTCAGGGTTTATATTCTTAGGTTATAATGAACTCATCCAAATTCAACATGACCGGAAGGTCATGATGAACTCTTCATAAACTCAACATAACTGGAAGCCCTTGCCCTATCGTCCATGCCTGGCCGCGGCGCGTCCGACGAAACGAAGAGCGAATATAGCGATAATCGAGATTCTGTGTACTAAAATGATCGAATTTATAATTATTTTCTTATCATACGAATTACGAAGCAGCAACAACCCTTCTTAAATCTCTCCAGCAATCCTAAGAAGATAAAATAATTCCATATTAAATACATTAAAAAGAAGTGCATGTTAGACTTACCTCAGTAATATTAATGCTGGAATAAAATATGCTGAGGCTAGATGAATAGAGACAAAAAATGAGCGAGATGGCCTGGAAATTAAAAAAAAAACTTTTTTAATTTTTTTACTCTGAATTAATAAAGAAATCTTTACTTCTCTTTACGTTTATATAAATTTACTGCATTGTGTTCTTCTAAATCAAGCATTAGCTCAAAGACTAGTTTTCCTTGATGTCCAATGTCCATCATCTTCCTCTTCTAAGCCAGTCTGATCTTCATCCGTAACCCTGGACAAGGGACCCTAGCAGGTAGTAGCTCTACGGGCCAAAGAGCACCTGGAATCTGCGGAGGGCAGGGATCGATTCATTTTTCCCTGATAGAGAGATCTCTACCCGCTACCCATATCGTGTATCATAAAAAATATCCAGATTACTGAAAAAAAAAATTATTAAACATTTTCTGTAAGATATACCTTATTACCTCCATATACGTATATGGAAACAATAAGGAAGCATATCTATAATATTACTTGCATTTAACGTTACAAAGAAAGAATGTTTTCTTTCAAGATTATAGCCGTATGAAATCACTAACATTATTAATTGTTTCAGTATCTAAGGCGAAGATAATCGGCAATCCGGAGCTACATATCAAAAGCGGAAGTGACATAAACCTCACGTGTGAGGTACTTCAGACGCCGGATCCACCTAGCTTCATATACTGGTAAGATTAATCACTTTTTCTCACGAAAAACAATAAACCTACATACACATACAGAAATATATACACAAACCCACACCTAACAAAACAAAAAAGAGAAAGAAATTCGTTTAAGATACAAAAGAATGAATATTTTATATAACTCTTCCATCAAAAGCAAGTCATATTTTACATCTAAATTTAATAATTTCTCAAAATATTCCTAAAAGTGTCTTCATTTCGAATTTCAGGTTCTGAAACCAATCTTTTCATCCCCTTCGCTATCTATAGAAAGGCTTTCTTAAAAGATAAATCAATATTTAAACAAAGAGAATGTCTATCAAATGGATTTTTGTCTAATATCAAACAATTAAAACTATTATCCAGATTTCCATATCCAGAATATGGTGGAATATGAAAAAAATAGGGCCTGGAAGCTACTGGAAAATCTGATGTCCAAAAGGAAAAGAAAAGAGATCTTAAGAAAGCTTTTATTCGCTGGCCTTTTTTTTCGTAGTATTTTTTATCAAACATTTTTTATTTTCTTTATCCTTATTACATCCATAAACAAAGAAAAAAGACATATTTAACTATTAATTTTCAATATATTGTATCTAAAGCATAATTACTTTACCTATGCAAGGTTGTTTTCAGAAGAAAAAAAATAATTTATAATAATATAGTAATTTTTATGAAAACTCATGACCTTAAATGCAAAAATAATTTATCTGTTGACAGAATGGGACACAATAATTTCCTAAGTAAAGTATACCTTGCATAACAATGCAGGTAGTTTCTACCTATCTACCTATTACAGAAGCATCCATGCTTTACGTAGCACAACAATAGGGTGACAAAATTATAACAATGGAAACTGAACATTTTCGGTCAAATATACTACCAATGGCGGAGGTTAAGTATTAAAATATTACTTTAATTTTGTCATATTCATTTTAACGCCCTAATTTTATCCCATAGTTAAAAATTTACTCTTGTTTCTTTTTTTAGGATTCTATTCTATAGTTAATTAATCTAAAAAAGTTTATTCGTTTCTTTGAAATTATCAAAAATATTAATCGCATTTTATAGAGTTGGATTCATTTCTTTTATAGGCTTTGATAAAGTTAACTGCTATTGATACTAACTCAAATTAGTTCAAGATTTTTTAATGGAAAATCCATAAATTTTGTAAAAACAGTTAAAGCAAAGTATGATTTGTGAAATCTTGAAAATAAAATCCTTTACGTAAAAGAACTCAACGAACTCTTTATTGTTTTGGTTGGCTATTTTTTTTAAGAATAAAGATTGATTAAAAATTAGATGGCATTTTGCAATACTTTTATTCTTTTTATGGCTCAAATACTCTTTCTATTGATAATTTATTCTATTATACATGCTAGAGTGGCTAAAAATTTAAATATGCTCGTTTTTCTGCACGTTTTTCCCTCTTTAAGTGAAATTAAATGAAAATCGTCGCCTCACCATACGGAACAAAGGAAGGCAAATTTAATTTTCAAAATAAAACTTTCTTATTTGATCGCTTTTAAAAGAGGCAATTTGCAGTCAGGGTTTAAAATTCAATAATAGTTCCATTACGAACGGTCAGTATCAGGAAGAATTGTCCAATTCCATTTTATTCCTCTATCCCTGCGACAAAGGCCTTCTAAAGTTTTATTGGCTCCGATTCCCTATGAAATATGTATCCGATGGACCATAGAACAAATAAAAAATATGGCTGTCACCGTTTACTATATACACGACCCTATCCAATTATTTCGGGAATTTAATTGATTTATTTTGACGGAAAACTTATGATATATGGTTATGGAAGGGCCTTTTTTTTACACCTATAGTTATTATTTATACACAATTTGGAATATATACTTATCAGGGTTGCAACAACTTTGAGAAACACCTCACTGTAGAATTGAGCAATAAAAAAATTGGAAGTCAAAAACTAAATACTCCGAACTAATGGACACCTACTCCAGAAATCTACGCTATCGAAAGATACGTACAACTTACCTTAGATAGGAACTATCGGAAACAAGAAATAGCCATCTTATTACATAGTCAAGCAGCCTTCACAACGATCATTAGTAACTATCAATTTGAAGTTGGTTAAAGAATGCCTAGGGGAATAATTAGGCAAAGATAATAAAGTCCTCCTAATCTGGCTGGTTACACCAGAACCCCTCATCACACTGATTGCAAGAGATGACAACCATTCGTGCCATAAACTTTGATAGACTGGTATCGGTGATGACTAACCTCTGATACTAGTTTTTGTTGAATCCCTGAAACTGTATCAAGAAAGGAGGATACAATAGATCTATTTAATCTACAATTTAGGGTTGCAAAGAGAGTTGAATTATCCAAAAACCATTTTTAATCTGGAAAACCAAACCTAATATTTTCCAGAAGGATTTCTTGGCCCTTTGTATATCGACCACACTTCAAATCAGTATATTCTCGCAAATCTCTTTTCAAACGCTCAACTTTATATATTGTTTCTCAAAATAAAATTTACCTAACCTTGTTACACCTGTTTGTATTTTTTCCTTGATCTTTTTTTTCCTTAACTTTCCTATCGATTCGATCGGGGATGGCTTGGCAGCCCGAAACTTTGGGCGTGAAAATAAAATTTTCCGCTTGCTAAATTCAATTTTGCCTTTCAATCTTGTCGATACTTAAAAATCCTGACTAAGAGGGCATTAGAACAGGACAAAAATTAAGCTGGTAATTAGGAAAAAGGCGGAAATAATTCACTTTGCCAAGCTCTAGGAAAATAAGTCAGAAATTCTCGACTTATTCGGAGCAGTTAAATTCGCCATCTTGATTATGTTTGTTTTATTTTGCTTTAATAGTAATTAAAGGGGCGAGAGAATTCAATCTGATGTGAGGGTGGAAAATTAAATATGAAAAAGGGAAAAATTTTTAGTCAATTTATTTTGAGGGGTTACGTACTTACGAAACAACACGTAATATTTTATCATTTTATTTCCTTAAAAATAAACTTGAAAAATAAATTGAACAATGTCACAACTCATTCTTGTTTCTTCTGAATAAATATGTAAGACGTCTTTTCAGAACACAATTTTGCAATAGTTTTATTGATTTCATATTTTTTGAAGTCTTCTAGGGCTAAAAAAATATCGGAATATCTAAAAAGAACGTCCTGTATGTATATTTACGTTTCTAGTTTCCTCCTGAAGCATTATTGCGGGCGTTTCAATATCGTAAAGTGAAATTTAAGCTCACTTGCATCCTGTCCATAAACATGGCAACATTTTCCTATTGAATTTCGAAAGGGTTATTAAAAAGATAAGGAGATTGGTCTAGTGAAAAATACCCGTAACAAGGAAGGGGTTAATTTCAGTAGCGTCTTAAACGGTATCGATTTTGACGATCAGAAGATTACCAAGGAGGAGAATTCCTAATGAATACTAATGATAGTTGGGCTAGTTTACGACATTACAGAGCTTGGCTATAAGTTCATGCTGGAACTCCATAAAATATAAGTCTTTACAGCTGGCCTGTCTTTTAAATTGTTCTGTTTCATTTTGGTTGGAGGAAAAAAAACGGGGGAATCGAGGAATACTCCCTTTTTTTCCTTTTAACTTATTATTTTTACACGATACAAACCAGCCAGGTTGAATTTTTGAAATATATTATCGATGCACTAAGGAAGAAAAAAACGTTAGTTAATTAATATATAATTTATATGATCTTAGGAAATAATTTTGCTGATATAAGACACTACTAGACTACTTAACATAAAAGAAAACTAAAAATAGTAGAAGAATATACAGGGTGAGTCTTAAATAAGTACAAATATTTTCAGGGCTGGTAGATCTCGATAAAGAACATATTTTCTCTTCTTCAAAATAACCGAGTTATTTTACTTTGAAAATTTCCAAAAAAATGATTTTTTGCTTAAATTTTGAGAACCAGTGGTGCCATTATATCAAGAAATTATATTTTTTAACTAAAAACTAAAAAAATTTCCAGTTTTTTTTCAAAATTTTTTTGAAAATTTGCAAAAATTTCTTTTCGCGAAAAAAACTCATAATCGTGTTTCTGGGGTCGAAACATACTACCCGTAAAAATATTTGCACTTATTTAAGACTCACCCTGTATATATTTGGGACAACTAAAACACAGCTCGTGATGATAGCATGGAGTACTTGTGGAAGAAACTCAATCATATGCAAATCTAGAATGCCACTTTATGTAAAGAAAACATTCGACCAATGATATGACCTATGCATACGAAAGCTGGACATAAAACGGATATTATAAGGAAACTGCAGGTCGCACAGTGGTCAATGGAACAAAATATGCTGGGCTATATAACCAAAAACGACCATAAAAGAATAGAGTGGATACGACAGAAACCCATGTAATAGATGCCATCCACAGAATTAAATCCCTCAAGTGGCAATGGGCAGGACACCTGGCAAGAAGGACGGACAACAGATGGACCACAAAAATTACAGCATGGTACCCACGAGGAAGTTGAGATGAGACCATAATATTAGGAGATTAGCGGAGATAAATTGGGCCCGCATAGCCAACAATAGACAAGAATGGGCACAGATACAAAAAGAGTATCTAAATATGTGAGGAAGGCCATAATATTTGGAATTGGTTGAATAAACTGAAAATGATGATAACACAATAAGGTGAAAATTACATTAGTAGGGGTTAGTAGAATTGATTGTCGATAATACTAAACTGCAGGTGGTACAAGGAACCTTGGATTAGAGGAGACCTGCTGCAGGTGGATAGACTGCATGCTCAAAAGTCGAGTGGTATATACCACCCTACTAAATGAGACTGTTGCTGTCCGGGTGGCGGGAGGATGCCCGCAGGGTGGAGTTCTCTTCCCTCTGCTGTGGAATCTCGTTATGGACGGACTGCTTGATAGTCTCAACAGGGCTGGTTTCAGCACTCTGGGATACGCAGACGATTTGGTCGTGTTAGTCAGAGGTAAGTTTAACACAACAGTAAGGGGAGCAGAT